AGAGACGGGGTTTCGCTATATTGGCCAGGCTGGTCTTTGTGATCCGCCTGCCTCTGCCTCCCAAAGTGCTGGGATTACAGGCGTGAGCCACCACGGCTGGCCTGTCTTTGTTACTTTGTCAAAACTCAGGTGACTATATTTATGAAGGTCTATACTGTGTTCCCTTGATCTGTCTCAATTATTGCAACTTTTAAGTCTCGAAGTCGGGTACTGTCAGTTTTCCAACTTTGTTCTTGTCCTTCAATATTGTTTTGGCTATTCTAGGTCATTTTGCCTCTCCATATAAACTTCAGAATCAACTTGTTGATATCCACAAAATAACTTGATGGGATTTTGATTGGGGATTGTGTTGAGTCTATAGATCAGGTTGGGAAAAACTGACATCTTTATATATACATTAACTTTTTGGTATTAACCCTGCAACTTTGCTGTAATCACTTAGTTTCCAGTAGTTTTTCTTGTTTCTTTGGGATTTTCTACATTGAAAACTAGGTCATCTATGAACAGTTTTCTTTCTTTCTTCTCAATCTGTGTCCTTTTTCTTTTATTTTCTTGTCTTAATGCATTAGCTAGGATTATCAGTACCATGTAGAATAGCAATAGTGGGACGTCCTTGCCCTGTTCTTAATCTTAAGGGTTAACCATTTAGTTTCTCACCATTGATTATGCTGTTAGCCAGAGGGGTTTTGTTATTCCTTTTGCTAGAGATAGTATCACTTCAGAAGAAAAGAATATTAGCTCTCCTTCCCTTCTTTTATTACACTCTTCCTTTCCACCTACCTACCTTTGCATCTGCACTTTATATTATTAAAATTGATATCATTCTGTTCTATAACTATAAAGCTTTGCATGCATTATCTGCAGGTTGAGTCTGAAAGATGAAAATCAGTAAATGGTATTTAATTATTATGATTATACAAGCTGAATATCTCATGTCTGAAATGCTTGGAACCAAAAGTGTTTTGGATTTTTTATTTGCTTTTTTTTTAATCCTTTTTTTTTTTTTTTTTTTTTTTTTTTTTTTTTTTTTTTTTTTTTTTTTTTTTTTTTTTTTTTTTTTTTTTTTTTTTTTTCTTTTTTTTTTTTTTTTTTTTTTTTTTTTTTTTTTTTTTTTTGAGATGGGATCTTGTTATGTTGTCCAGGCTGCTCTCAAATGCCTGATCATACTTTGGTTTTAATTTTTTTGAGACAGGATTGTCCAGGTTGGAGAGCATTGGTGTGATCATAGCTTACTGCAGCCTTGAAACTGAGATAATGTCAACTGTATTTATAACTGTTTTCTATTCATTGCCCCTGTTTCTTTATTTTTTTTTTTTTGTCTTCCACTCTCTTTCTGCCTATTCTCATTTTTATTGAATATTATGATTCTGTTTTCACTTTTCTTTCAAAATATCAATTATACTTATTTTTTTCTACTGGTTGCCCTGGAGTTTGCAATACACTTTATAGCCAATCAAGTCCACTTTCAAGTAACACTGTCCTGCTTCACAGGTAATGCAGGCACCTCATCTCAAGAGTGTTCCCAATTCCTTTTTTATCTTTCCCATCCCATGTAACACTGCTGTTACGCGTCTCACTTACTCAAAAGGTGTAATCATTGATTACATTATTATTATTTAAATAAATGATTATCTTTTCTATCAATTTAGAATTTGATAGGTACAAGATTTAATTTCACCTTCATTTATTCTTTCTCTAATACTCTTCCTTTCTTTATATAGATCCACATTTTTAACATTTCATTTTCCTCATATGTTGCCATTTTCATGTAGCATTCCCTGTGGGCCTCTTCTGCTTCCAGGCCTGCTCCACAGCTGCCCTGAAGGCCCACATGTAGGGCTCAAGATTTGTAAACAGACTTATCACAGAGGCAGGGCCAAGTGCTGCCAGATCCTCTAATGAGAACTAGTCAACTGGGCATTAAGAGAAAACGAAGCCCCAGCTGCAAAATAGCAGAGATTATCCAAGCCTCACATACAGGAATGTCCATAGCAAGGTAGCAGCTAGGCAGTGACCCGCGCTTATCAGTCCTCAGCTTGCACACCGGCCAGCCACGGGCCTGCCCAAATCCGTCAAATCCATCCAAGGCTGGAGCCCTCACTGCTCTTTGACAATACCAGTTGCCCCCATGTCAGCACCTCAGCCTTGATCTGCTCCTCCCTGCCCTGGCCCGGAAGGTCTCAGTGATGACATGTCCCCTGCATGGCTCCAAGGGGACTCCTTCACATCTGCAGAGAGTTGGTGCTAGGGCTTGGGCAGCTCTCATCAGCAGCTGAACCAGCTGAGCTTCTGGGTCTCAGATGGCTGAATACTGAACCTTTTCTCTGAGCAGAGCTTAAAAGGACCCTGAACATATTCTGAGCGTGGAGCACTCACTCACAGAGCTGGCAGCATCCCTCTGTCCATCCAAGCCTCAGTGACAGGGTGAAAGGGAGGTGCTCACTCCTTGCTGGATCACAAGGCCTCCTCATCTCTGTGCTCCCTGAGTGGCAGCTCTGGGATGTGTGGAAACGTCTTTCTGCTGTGTCTTCTGGGGTGAAATCATTTTGTAGCACTGTTTTTCCCACCCTCACACTGCTCACCACCTCTCTATCCACCACTCACTAGCGATGGGCCCTGGCGCAGGGCTGCGGGAAGGGATGCAGCAAGCTCACATCTCCATGGAAAGCGGGGCGAAGTCCTGTCTAAAACCAGGTTCCGGCCTCTAAAGAGACGACTTGTGAGCCCTGACTTCTCTCCATCTGGAGACAGGGAGGAAGAGGGCATAGCAGAGTTCAAGTTACTGAAGAAATGTGTGCACCAGGTTGTGGTGAACGCCAGACCCACCCATCCTGAGGACCCTTTGAAAGGACCTTTTTAAAAAGATATGTTTGTAACTAAGCAATGCCCCTTTCCCAAACCTGATTACAAGACATTTCTGCACATAAGACAAGCAGCAACTTAATGGCAAACTGCTGGCAAGCTCATGAGTGTGGTGTCCTCAACCCTGATGTAAACTATCTTTTTCTTTCTGATGCTCATTTCAATGAATGTTTAATCATACACTTCCCAGCCATCTCTTGAAATGTATTTAGGGTTGCCAGAAAAGATTTCCAGTTGCTTATGGACCTCAGATGAAATGCATTTCCTCAACTCTTGCCTTTTTCTCTAATTGGAAGGAAACTGCTTAATCCCGCATAACGTAAATGCTATTAACACCCATGGATATCCTAGGATGAAAATGAACTTTGGCTGGTAGCAGTCTACTTTTTATTAACTAAGGTAGCAGTCATTTACCAAGCACCGGGTAAACCAGTGAGTGGGCCTGTGCTGGGCTTGCAGGCCCTGGGCAGGAGCCAGGTGGTGCAGGATGTGCTCTGGGACTTGGGGAAGTGGCCACTCCATCTTCCCTTTGTACCTCCTCATGCACCTGCCTGTTGTGAATTAGTCAACACTGTGTTCCAGCTCCATTATGAGCCTTTATTGACTTTGCATTTCATCCCTTTGACTCACCTTGACAATGTCATTAGCCTTTTCAAAATCAAGATCTATTATTTTCATTTTTTAAAAGTCAGTCAAGTATGCATTGCATGAATGCACTTTAATAAACCAAGCCAGGCCGGGCGCGGTGGCTCAAGCCTGTAATCCCAGCACTGTGGGAGGCCGAGGCGGGTGGATCACGAGGTCAAGAGATCGAGACCATCCTGG